CCCCAAAACCCCAAAACCCCAAAACCCCAAAACCCCACTAAAATAAATAAAGTAGCAAAGTTAATAATTTTTCTCATCCATAAATGTCGAGATATTTTTCAAAGGCCCAAAAGACGTATTCCCATCTTAAAAGCTTTACAAGAAGCTCATATGGAGGTTCCTTCAACTACAAACCGTAAATAACTCATAAACCTGTTTAGATACCTTTACACAACTTTATCAATGGGAGCATTACTGGCAACTCAAAAATACTTCAAAATTCAGACTGCAACTAAAGCAGAAATGAATGCTCTCTACATTGACAAACAAAGACTCAAACAGATGTTTGAGCTAATCTCTGATGAGATTACAGTCTACCATTTTTATGACTCTCAGAATCCTCTTCATGATGAGTTTAACCAGCTAAATTCCTATGTTCTGAAGGAAGCTTGTAAGAAAAATTGTGCAGAAATTGCTTCTATTGACATCAACGAATTAGACCCTCATGAAGAATCAAAACTAATGCACGCTACCAAAATGAATAAGGCTCAGATCAAGGCCCAATCGGCTCCAGTGCTAGTCCTAAAATCTAATTGTAGCTTTAAAACTATCGATAACAAAGTGGTTAATGGAGACGAGGAAAACTTTAGAGTGTATCTCAGAAATCTTACCAGATCCCAGCACGTCACCTCAATTAACGAGTTGTCTGCTGCTCTCAAGAACAACAAGTCCCTTAATGACTGCTGTGTGGCATATTATCTTCCTTTAAGAGAAGGTCAGGACCATAAAAAGGCAATCTCAGAATTTGAGGAAAGGAATATTATGGTCTTCAACCTCCTCAAAGGTGAGACAGAAAATATAGCTGTCATCACTGATGAGGAGCTGGCCCAAAAATGCAAGCTTGAGCCCTCCAAATTCTATGCTTACTTCAAGCCAAGTTACATCAATGGCTTCGAGAATTTAGTTGACAAAGATTTGAATGTAGAATATCTACAAGCCTATGAAGGAATTTGTAGAGATGAGTTCGTTCCAAACTATGACTATCTCTCTTCAGACGAATTCCTTGGATCTATTGGAGACCATGAGAACATGTTTACTGAAAAATTAATATCAGAGCATTTTGATAGTGCTTTTGAAAGGACAACCACAACTGAATTCCTATTAAACCCAAACTTTGAATCAAGATGGGAATCTGATGAGGCTGATGTTCCACAATGCTTCATCTACATCCCTGATGAATACATGAAAAAGTATATATTCGAGATTAAAAATGCTCTCGAGGACTACAAAGGATCATTCGAGTTTATCTATACTAACAATTACAGTGTTGCCAATAAATATCTGTTCCTAGATGAATTTCCAGACGTAATGCCATTCTTCGTGATAGTTGACAAATCCAAGAAGATTCCTGTCAGGAAACTCACAGATGAGCCAATCAAGAACTTCGAGGATGTCATCGTTGATTCTGAAAATGTCCCTGAGGGAACTCCTTTCTATTACACAAAGTATAAGGAACCTATCTTCTTGAGCAATTTGACTCAGGAAATCGAAAAATTCCTTGAGAAATATCTTGAAGGAAAAATGACACATTATTATCAAACCGAGAAAATGGTCCAGTACACTCGAGTCAAGGAGATCTGTGGGGACACCTTCAAAAGAGAAATTGTAAACAATCCTAAAGTAGAGCAATGCATCATAGAGGTTTTCAAACATGATTGTCCTAGCTGTATGTACAATGGTAAAGTATTTAACGCTTTCAGCAGAAAGTTGGAGAAGAATGGAATCTTGAATCAACTCCCTTGCTTTAGACTTGCCATTGACAATAAAATTCCTTATCTCGGTAGCTTTGCATACTCACCAATTTACTTTTTCCTCAAGAAGGAGGATGGAAAAGTGACTGAAATATCAATTATTGACATTCCTGTAAAGTATGAGCAATTCAAGAGCAAGCTCATTGAATACACCGGAATTGAAAAACTCAAAGAAATCAATCTTGTGCCAAAATTCCAAGTAAAATACCACTTCCAGCAAGAAGACCTCAAGCCTGGGTTTGATATCGACCAGGACTTGATTGACAAAGCAAAGGAGGACGAAGAGCAGAAGAAGAAAGAAGAAGAAGAGAAAAAGCCAAAGAATATCGAAAAATAGCTTTAATCCATAACCATTGCTCTCATCCTAAAAATTCTATTGAATTTTATTCCAATATTCCTACTGTACTCTGGGGTTTTGGGGTTTTGGGGTTTTGGGGTTTTGGGGTTTTGGGGTTTTGGGGTTTTGGGG